TTGAGCGGTCACAAGTAGGAAATTATCGCCCAATATCCATCCTGTGCAATTTCTCCAAAGTTTTTAAAACTATTTTGTATGAACGTGTATACGCATCTGTATATCGCAAAATTTCACCAAAAATCAACCATAACAAATCTAATGCATATATGACAGGAAATATCAGAAATTCTGGATAAGGGGGGTCGGGTTGATGTGATATATACGGATTTCTCCAAGGCTTTTGACAGGTTGGATCATGGGTTATTAAGTTACATAAATTCGGATTTTTTGACGGTCTCCTAGAACTTTTTGCATCATATCTGTATAATTGGGAGCAATTTGTTTTTTACAATGGATTTAGGTCTATGAACTTTTTTCTTTTATTTACTACGTTTTCATGGAGTTTTGAAATCGTTTTGAAAACGGTTTTGGTATTGAAAACGCCATGAAAACAGGTACTGAAATCAACTTCAGTCTCAAGGTCGTTTCACCTTTTTTTGGGATCGTATCGAGATTTAAATTCAGAAACTTGCAATTCGATTTCAATTCTAATTTTGCCTCTGCATGATAATGGGGAAAAGGATTGGATTCAAAACGATTCGAAAACTCCATGAAAACGTAGTAATTGTTAACGATCTAGCTGACGAACTATATTTTCAGATGATATCAAAATTTTCTCTCCAATTGACAGTCTGAGTGACAATTTGCAGGCTGATTTAACTAGAGCTCAATGATGGTGTGCTGAAAATAGTTTGAATTTAAATTTGTCTAAATGCAAATTTATTAGATTTACCCGTAAACTGACCTATATTACTTTTGCATATGCAATAAACCACATAGCACTGTCACGATGTTTTTCTGTCACAGATCTGGGTATAATGTTTGATTATAAATTTACTTTTGTCGACCATATTAGAACTAGGTAAAGCTATTGAGGCAAGTACGGCTTACGGTTTTATAGTGAGGAATTGTAAAGGATTTGATAATATAAACGCCCTACTCACACTTTACTATGCCTACATACGCTCAAAACTTGAATACGGTTGTTTAATCTGGTATCCGTGTTACAGTGTCTAGAAGATTATAATTGAAAAAGTTCAACGCAGGTTTTGAAAGTATGTAATGTTTGAAATGGACGGAACCCATCCAGTAAGAGGGTTTAACCAAGGAGTGCTGCCTACTGAGTAGATTCACCATGCAAAGCCTGGAGCATAGTAGAGTATGGGCTTCTCTGTCATTCTTGTTCAAATTGATACACGAAAAGATCGATTGTCCTCACTCTCGAAATTGAATTTCTTGGTTCCCAGACTCCAAAGCAGGAACAACTTAACATTTTATTGTACTAGAGCAAAAACCAATATTCTCCTGAGATCTCCGATAACTATAATTTGTAGTAATTTCAATAGAATTGATCGAGAAAACGATATCTTCAACTGTACTCTCAGCTGTTTGAGTTTAGTTGCTTCGGGTGTGTTTGCTGCTATTTCATTTTATAGGTCAATATAATATTGTTTATTTTTGTATGAAGTTGCTCTGTAAATGGGTAACTCTGTTGGGCAATAAAGCTATTATTATTATTATTATTTTCTTTTTTGTTTCTACTCGGTTAGACCGGTGCGATTTTTCATAATATTTTATGCGTGACGAGCTAGGCCAAACCAAAGTCTTGCATAAGTCTTCCTATTGTTTGTCTGTGTGATGATTTAAAAACAGTCGGGTTATATGACAGGTTTTGAGGATCACTGCCCTTTGTATGCTCTTGTGAATTCTCAAGTCTAGCTGTAGTTTCTTAAGGTTTTGCATGAACGAGAGTGGTGTTATTCCTGTAGCAGAAATAATAAAGGGCAATATTATTACTCTATTCTGTTTCCAGAGGGTCGTTATCTCTGCTGCCAGACTTTGATATTTTTCTTCCTTTTCACTCTGCTTTTCTTTGATGCTATGGTCAGATGGTATTGACACTTCAAGGAAATATGTTGTTTTCTCTTGTTTGTTAACAAGAGTAATGTCTGGCCTGTTGTGGTGCATGGTCTTATCTGTGAGTAGTGTTGTGTCCCAATAAAGCTTATAGTTTTCGCTTTCTAGAATTTTAGGGGGAAAATAATTGTAATATGGATCCGTATTATCGGTAAGGCCTAATTTTTGTCCTAGAGCTTGGTGCAGAATTTTTGCAGCTGTGTCATGCCTATCTGAGTACAAAGTACCAGCAATGATAGAGCAGCCATTTGTTATGTGTTGTATTGTCTCAGGTACCAGTTTACACTTTCGGCATTTATCGTTGTGTATTGTTGAGTCCTTTATTATATATTTCCTATAGTTGAGTGTGTTTATGATCAGGTCCTGAATTGCGAGTGTGAATCCTTCTGTTTCCGGAAACAACTTTCCTTCAACAAGCCAGGCATATGAATCTACTTTGCTGATGTGTTTTTGATTCACTTGATAGTAGTGCCTTCCATGTAGTTCTTTCGATGCCCATGCTTCTTTCAGTTTAAATAGCTTATCCGTGTCTTCAACTAATACATTTGAGTTGCTTAAATTGAGTGGTGTTAGTTTTTCGTCTGCTAGGCAGATGGCCTGGTGTAGGGAGGTCGTTTTTGAATGGAAGAATTTTATTAGGTTCATCATTTGATTGTGGTGTAGTTCAATTATATTTATGACTCCTCTTCCACCTTCCATTCTGGGTATGTTAATACGCTCCTTGCATGCATGTTCATGATGGACTCTATGTTTCGTAAGCTGGGTTCGAATAGTACGGTTGAGATGTTCCAGTTCCGTGTTGGACCATTTAATTATCCCAAAAGAGTATGTCAAAACTGGAATAGCATAGGCGTTAATGGCTCTTATTAGGTTTCTTGCATTTAATTTGGTTTTTGCAAGGTTTGAAATTCGATTTTTGAAATTGTCTGATATCTTTTGTTTTGCCGCTGAGTTATCGGTTATTATAGTTTGTTCGAATCCCAAGTATTTGTATGCTTCTCCACATTTCATATTCCTGATTATTTCCTCTGTTTTACTTGTTTTTACTCCGTCAGTTTCAAACCATTTACCCTTTGTCATGCGCTGGATTTTGCATTTGTCAATGCCAAATTTCATCTGTATATCATCACTGAATTTTTCCGTTACCTTGATTAAGTTTTGTAAATTTTGTTTGTTATTGGCATATAGTTTCAGGTCATCCATATAGAACAGATGGTTTATTGTGTATTTTTGGTCCTATGGAGTATCCTACTTTTGTTTTGTTGAGTTCTTTTGACAGCGGATTTAAGGCCATGCAGAACCATAAAGCACTGACACTATCTCCTCGGAAGATTCCGCGACGAATATATATTTCTTCCGTGTGTATCATGTTTGTCTCTGTTCTTAGGTAGATTGTAGTCCGCCATGTATTCATGATATATTTTAGAAACTCAACAACAGTTTTATTTATTCTATAGATCTAAAGGATTTTCACGAGCCAGCTATGTGGGACCGAATCAAAGGCTTTTATTATTATTATTATATTTTTTTTTTTTTTTTCTCCTTTGCAGGGTTGTTCAACAACGTGGGATTCGTGATCATTCACGCTGCTTCAAACTTGCGATTATTTCAGCAGGATTTCGCCATTACATGTTTTCAGGTAAGTTAAGAGTCTTCCTGACAATCCTACACGTCTCCAATACGACAGATTTCTGCATTTCAGGAAACACTTCTTTATGATTTATTTTTAGAGTTTCGACGTATTTTTTCAAGTTTTTTGTTGCCAATCCGGTTGCAGAGATGACTATCGGTAAAATTTCGACTTTTCTCAAATTGTTAATAGATTTGAATTCTTCTGCCAGCTCAAAATATTTACTTATTTTTTCCCTTTCTGTTTTATTTAGGTTGTGATGGTTCGGATGAGCAACATCTACGAAGTACCCAATCTTGTCCTGTTTGTTGAGAAGCACGATATCTGGTCGGTTGTTTGCCACAGTTTTGTCGGTTTGTATTGTTGTGTCCCAGTATAAACGGTAAGTATTGTTTTCGAGAATGGGAAAAGGTACATATTTGTGGTATCTTTCTTTTTGTTCTTTCAGGTTGCACAGTATTGCCAGTTCTTGATGGATTATGTTCGCAGTCAAATTATGTCGTTGGAGGTATTCAGTTGGAGCAAGGTAAGTACATCCTGAGATAACGTGCTCTATTGTTTCCGCATGTCTGTTACACAGTCTGCATAGGTCGTTATCCAGCTGCACTCCATGTACAAATTTTATGTGATTTTTTGTTGCAATTACATTATCTTGTATTGCTACCATGAATCCTTCTGTTTCACCAAACAGTTGTCCCTTTCGTAGCCACTCAGTTGAGGACTGGAGATCGGCATCATTCAGCTTATTGGGAAATCTGCCGTGCAACGGTTTTGACAGCCAAGCAGTCTTTAATTCAGCCATAGTTAGCACAGGAACATCTTCATTGGAGGACAGATTTACAGGTGAGTAGTGATCTAGGACGTAGATTATCTTATGCAGCTCTGATTCTTCAGTTTTGATCCTAAAGTACTTTTTCAGTTTATTTATCTGTCTCTGATATACACTGAGAAAAGAGTTTATTTATAATTAGCTAAACTTATTACCGTTAAATAAATGGCTGATTGAAATATAGCGGAATAAACTTTTATTATTGAGAAACAACTAATCAGTTAAAACTCTTTGAATATACCCTTATTAAAAGCTAAATGGAAATTATTATTATTCAATAAGTATTGTATTTAGGTGGAATAATGGTTTGTTAAGTATAAATAAAGTATTATTTATACTAACCTTTGCATGTTTTACTATAAATTATATACTGATAAAAAATACCCTATTTATTAGGAATTACCTAATAAGTTTTGTAAAAAATATACAATTCATTTATAAAAAACAAAGTTTTTTTATTATCAAATATGTATTATTAAGCATACCTAATTTATTATTTACAATAAATTTTGGTTTGTTAATTATAAATAAGAAAAGATAATTATGCGTTAGGTGAAACATTACAAATTAATACACTTATATTTAGTTTAAATATGACAAAATTTTCACTTTCACTTTAACTCGTTGTCCTAATTGAGGAATAAATTCCTTGCACTCATTTGGGTCCTCAACGATCTGCCTCAATGTTTCCAGGGTATCCACGTCATTTGCTGCAAACAAAATTTTTGTTGGTTAGTACTTATTGAATACCTAATAGGTACCTACCTATAAGTATTAAAAATCGAAAACCTCTAGCAGACAGGAATAAGGGGAGAAAAAAAATCAATAATCAATATGCTATACAGCCTAGCAACTAATCTTTTCAAGATGATCCAAAATAGTCTCTGATAACTGCTACTGGGCAGCTAAGGCAGCGCGGCAAAGAAAATGATGTTGCCCGCCAATTTATACTCGCCATTTGCTGCACTCCTTTATTCATTAAAAATAAGTCATTCCCTTGACATACACAAATATTATTAACTATTAATTACATTTTATGTTTAGTTAACAAACATAATTTATAAAAATGTAAGCTTATTTGTTGTTAATTTAATTTATTTTTTATTAACTATGGGCGAGTTTATACAGTTTACAAGGGTGCGTACAGATCGGGCAACCCGGCCGGCCAACGAACGCCAACGAATGAGATTCGGCGATGTGGATACCGAATGTTCGTTGGCCTTCGAAAAAACGTCCATGTTGCATTCTACAGAGTACTGGTACCTACTTGTTCTGGTACTCCCCACATTCACTCTGCACACAATTGGCGACGTTTGCTCAGACAAGCGAATTTCGCTGTCTATTTGAGCAAACGTCGCCGATTCTCAACGATTCGATTACCTACCTTGACAAGTATCAATAAGAAGTGTTCCCAATTCCGATACCAAATTACTTTGACTTTGATCTTGGTCCATTGTTTGAGCCATTTAGGAATAAATTAATAAAGGCACTTAAATACAACTCACAACACAGCAGGTAAAGCCCGGGACCGACATCTAGTCCTCACGCGACGAAAAATTATTTTCTTCCAGACCCGAGGGTGACCGATTGGCAGTGGTCATGGATGCGGAATGCAACGACATCACATTGAACTAGTATAGGGCCGTCCCTTATTACTTATTGATATACCTTTATTATTTAAAAACAAATTTCGCTCGTATCTGATAACAAACTCGTTTGATTTATAAAAAATTATGTGGATTACACCAAATACAGATGTTTATTAACTATTAGTATAAATTGATTTAAAAGTAATGAAATTAAAATTGATAATAAAAAAATATTTTGGGACTATAATCAATAACTAATTTATTAGGATTAAATTTGTTCCATTAGTAATAAATATAATATGACCGCGGAACAAAGCATTTGTTTTTAATAAAAACAGATTTTTGAGCAGATTATTAATAGCGAGTAATTTTTTTTTATATGAAATTTGTTATACTTATTATTAATGAAAATCATCCAAACAAATATTTGTTAACTATTAGCCTAGTTTTTTTCTCAGTGTAGGGTTTTGAGATCTAGCAGGCCTCGTCCGCCCGTGCTACGTGGCATATACAGCCGTTCAGTGCAGGCTCTTGCATGGTGTATGTTGAACTTGGTCAGTTGTACTCGGATGGATCTATTTGTAGCTTCAAGTTCAGTTTGTGACCATCCAATAACCCCGAAGGAGTACGTCAACGCTGGCACTGCCCATAAATTAATAGCCTTTATTTTATTTTTCGCTGTAAGTTATGTACGAAGAATGCTGGAGACTCTGGTTTCTAAAGTTTTATTTAATTTTTCTTTAGCACATTTTCGGTCTATTATTAGTCTCTGTTCGTAGCCCAAGTACTTGTAATTATCTTTGTTTAAATAGCGGATATTTTCATTTTCTAGATTGTCAAATTCTTGGGGCTTTCCTTTGCGGGCTATCAATTTAGCACATTTGTCTAATCCGAATTTCATTTTTATGTCAGTGCTAAATTTCTCCGTGAGGCTAATTAATCGATTTAGGTCTTTCTCTGTTGGAGCGTAAAGCTTAAGATCATCTACATAGAACAAATGAGATATGATGTAACTCTGCTCACCATTCTTAAGTTTGTATCCCAGACCCGATTGACACAAAGCTTTGGATAGAGGATTGAGACTGAGTATAAACCAGAGCGGGCTAAGCGAATCTCCCTGGAAAATTCCGCTCTGTATGGGTATTTCCTCGGTTGTTATTTGTTGTTCTGCTGTATTAACAAGCAGTTTTGTTCTCCAGGTTCCCATACATGTTTTCAGAAACTCCACAATTCCTTCGTGTACCTTGTATATTTCCAGGACTTCGATCAGCCAGCTGTGGGGTACAGAATCGAATGCCTTTTGGTAATCGATCCAAGCCACGGCAATATTTCTTTGACGATGTCTCGCATCTTGTGTAATCACGCTGTCTATCAAGAGCTGTTCTTTGCATCCTTGTGTTCGTGCTCGGCTTCCTTTTTGCTCTTCAGTAATTAGCTTCTGTCCACTAAGGTGTTTTTCTATACTATTTGCTATGACGGATGTAATTATTTTATACAAGGTGGGCAAGCATTGGGGCGGTAGTTCTTAGGTTCTTCTGTTTTTTCAGATTTAGGGATCATGAATGTTATTCCTTTTGTCAGGTATCCAGGCGTTGTTTCTTTGTTGTTTAGAACAAGGTTGATTTGTACAACTCCTGCCGCTTTCCAATTTTGTGTTTTCAAAATAATTTTTTTGATATCCTTCTTTGTGACTTCAACTTCTTTCATAGCTTCTACCCGTTCGCAGGTCTTCCTCTCAGCTTTCAACCATGTGGCTCTTCTGTTATGTTCACCTTTTATTATTATTATTATTATTATTATTATTATTATAATTATTATTATTATTACTATTATTATTATTATTATTATTATTATTATTATTATTATTATTATTATTATTATTATTATTATTATTATTATTATTATTATTATTATTATTATTATTATTATTATTATTATTATTATTATTATTATTATTATTATTATTATTATTATTATTATTATTATTATTATTATTATTGTTAAGACTGTGGAAGAGTGTGTGGCTCCAGAATTGGTTTATATAGCCATCAGAAACCGCACAATCGATAAGAATAGAGAGGATAATAGTCGCGTTCACCAGCACTCTCAACATGCTGAGTGATTAGTAAGCGGCTTTGGTGGAATACACAAGGTAGAACAGTTTTGATTGGCCTAGAACTGATTTTCATCTATTTTCAACAAAGGCGCTGACTAATTACTCAACATGTTGAGTGCTGGTGAACGCGACCAATCATACTCGGTATCGAGTGATTGCGTATGATGATGAAAGAGATTAAGATTTTGGATCTCGTGTAATCCATTTATTCAAAGTGAAGAGGATAAATGCAGAGTTCATAGTCGGGTTATCTTTCTTGGTAGCGGTTATTCCCTACACAAAAGCATGGATTTTTGATTGTCTTTGAAAAAATTGTTTTTAAATTAAGTGTCCCAGGCTTTTTAGGGTCACAAAAAGTTGGATTCACTTAAACTTAAAAATGATATTGTTTTCTTGAAGGTAAGTGCATTTTTCATCAAAGATAATTATTATGTGTGTTCGGGATTGATTCATATACCGACTTATCACAGTTTGTCAATTCCACTAGATGCTATCAGTAACCTAGTCTAGTAAACATATTTGTACTGAACAACCTCTAACTGAGACCAAATCTTGTACGTATTACGGTTTATGAGATATGAGAGTTGAAATATGTACTTTTTTTCTGGAAAATATACGATAAACTAATGCTTGTCACTCGGTTTACCATTAAAAATACTACTGACAGATCGACGCATTTCACGTCACTCACAAATGTTTATGGGTTATCGCAGCTTTTAAAATATTGTTACAGGGTAATTTCTTTGCGAAAAAGTCCATCTTCAACGCTTATATTTCACAAACCGCATAAGTACAAGATTTGGTTCCATTTAAGGGTGTTTCAGAAATAAATCTCTACGACATATCAAAAAATTGGCAAAATTTATGAATTTGCCCAAAAATCCCATATTATTCGTGCGTTATCCTGAGCGGTATCCTTTATTTTCTGGGCTTTATCAATTTTGCTAGTGTGACTCGTAATGGGCAATAGGGTCAGTGTGGGTGAAGTGTTTAGGCCTGCATCATAAGATTAACTCAGTATTTAGGTTTAGATTTTCTAGAATACAAATTAAAATCAACTACTGTTACTCTAAGCTAGTAGATATATGGACTATTTTCAAAAAATGTTTCATTTCATTAAAATATATTTTGATTTTAACAGTAATCAATTCTGTTCGCATTGAAATTGGAATTGAACGTATTCCCAGGTGAGCGCAATATCCAATTGATTAGCATTCAATTCGTTCGAATGACGTATTGCTAATGCGAAACATACACCCATACACTATACTAAAATATAAAACATTAAATAAATTCTCCCAAACCACAAAGCAGGCCAACACTCTTCAATCCCATTTCTGACCATTTCCAACTTGCAAGTTTCTGAAACTAAACCTAAACTTTTAGCCCCCGCTAAAACCAAAAACTAATTTCCACACTGAGCATATTTCTTTACGCCCCAAAAACCGGCCCCGCGTGTTTTAGTTGCAATATAACTTCTGTGGAAAACTTTGTAAGTTTTTGAGTTTAACCTCAAACTGTCGTGGGGGGAATATAGTTTTAACGGAGTTTGCAAGTAATGTAAAAAAGGATTTTAATATTTTTGCAATCTTTGGAGTTGTAATGTACTACATAGAAAACAAAATTTTGTATATACTCCGCCAGCGTTTTAGAAGATAAGGGATGTTGTCGTTTTAAAAAAATGTGTAAACGTCGACGAGTGAAGGCGGTTTCAACGTCTTAACAATAGAAACAAAGACATGTGCGGTTGGCTCGTTCTCAAATGCACATGAAACATGTATAACGATTAAGATGATTGAGATAAATTTTCTTACAATCTCCAAACTTCTGAATTGAAATTCGGGCTTTTTCTATATACATATACACAAACGTAGACAAATGAAACATATGTTTTACCCATTAAGAATGGTTTTCTGACCAACCTCGGTGTTGTCTGGAAGTAAATATCCAATTACTTCCATCACTGAGAAAGTCAATTAAGGAAATATTTTTTTTTTCTAATCAAATTAAATCCTCAAACAGTCGCAAACACTCACGTGTCTCATTAATGTAGAACTAATAATTATGACGAAGGTTCAGCTTTCGTCTCGAATTTTTCGCTCAGTGGCACAACGCAATGATAATATTTGCGCTCGAATCGCTTCGATGATAGTGCGTTCATGTTTTTCTTATCTTGCGACACAGCTCCGTTACATGAGAGGGATCAGCTCTAACTAAATAGCTCTTTTATTTTGCACGTAATTTATAGATATATTTGTAGTAGGTTAGCTATAATTTGACTCATCTAGCATAATATTCAAGTATTAACAAGGATCCCCCGCACATACCTTATGAAAAATGGCTTTCTGTCAAAATGGATGGATTTTCAAAATTGGGTTGATTTCGATATTTTAATTAAAAGTAAACCATTGCGCAAGCGCAAAAATGATTCCATGTACAGATTTTGAGTAAATGGGCTCAAAAGATGGTATTGGAAACGCATGTATCTTGATAGGTAGGTGCTCAACGCTATCAATCAATACTGAAATAGCCAAACTGTGGAATAGCGATGTTGAAGTCTAGGATCAGTGGTTCATATTTCAGCCGAGACACATAATTTTTTTGTTTCTCCAGTTTGGCTATTTAAGTATCGATTGATAGCGTTGAGCACCTACCTATTAAGCTCCATGCGTTTCCATTTCCTTTCAAGTCCATTTACTCAAAAACTGTACGCGAAATCATTTTTGCGCAATGATAACTTTTAATCAGAATATCGAAATCTACCCAATTTCAAAAAATCAACCAATTTGACAGAAAGCCATTCTCCATAAGGTTTGTGGGGGTCCTTTCTTGATACCTACATCCATTCTACTGTATGGATCCATTAACCACAGGTAAGGTCACAGGTCATAAGTGTTTCAATGTGCCTTATAACTAGGCACTAATGTAACACGCTTCAA